AATTCAAAAATTTAGATGGCGCAATGAAAGGCTGTGGTGAATGTGTAACTTATCAGCAATCTTTAGAGGCAAATTACATTGAGGATGACTGTCCCTGCTATGAGTGCGACGACAAAGATTTTTGTAACTTGGCCTTTGGCATTCTGTTAAATTTGAAGATTATATTTGTGATTTGCTTAATTGTGATCTACTACTTATTTTAAATTTAAATTATAATTTCTAAATAAATAAAAGATTGAATTCATTACACTTTTGTTTTTATACAGCTTGACAAGAAAGTAACTTTAAATTTTAAGTAATTTATTTTCTTGACATTAACTTGTTGTACCATCTAAATACGTATAAGTACATCAGGGACTTGCACCTTCCATATTTCGCTTCGGCGCCCCCTATCCCTGTAATATACCTATGTACAGTGATGTCTAGAGCGTGTTTTTTAGGTCCAAAAAATCGTCAAATAGGATCCTATTTAGGTCCAAAAAATTTCCAAAATAGGTCCAAAATAGGTTGAAAAAGGCCAAAATAGGTCCAAATTTTGACAAAATAGGTTCTAATTTTGGTTGAAATTAAAAAATTTATGATATCACATTTACTAAATTTGAATTTTTTATGATATTTTTTTATTTTAAATAGAAATTTATCGAAATTAGAGTGATTTAACAATGCCTAACCCTAAATACCGTAGCATTTGAAGGAATATCGTGATATAAGGGTAGTTGACGGGATAAAATGGGATATCGGTGGATTTGAATTGAATAGGGATTTATTGGGTTAATGGGATCTAAATATGCGGGGGTTGTAGCATATAATTTGGATATAGAATGATTAAAAAAATCTTTGATTTAGCATTATATCAGAAGACTATTTTTCCCTTCAAATCTACCCTCTTATTTCATCCGCAAAATTCCCAAATAGACAAATAAAAATTTAAAAAATTTCTTGATCAAAATGGTGTAGGTATTAAAGTTCAATAGTCAGGGAAAATCACTGAAATGTCTAATATAAATGTTAACTTGACAATTTTCGAGGGCAGTTCCTAGTACGATGACAGATTCTAGTTCCTACTAAATGTAGATATACCAGAATATTAGCGCCGCAGGCGAAAATTTTTGTGTTTTTGGGTGTCTGAGATGCTAGATTTGGCGGAAATTGACTAAAATAATCAAATTTTAAGAAAAATTTTCAAAAAACCTAGAATAGGTCCAAAAAAGGTCGAAATACGCTCAAAATAGGTCTTAGGTCTGAAAAGGCCGAAATAGGTTTTTTAGGTTTTAATAACTCGAAAAGTACGTTACACTATGCGGTAAAACAGTGTTTTTTCGACTTATCTCATCAAGGGCTGTTTGCAAAAAAATAGGTAAAAACCTAAAAAACACGCTCTAGTGATGTCAAAGTTTCAAAATTTCTCTGGAACTGGCTCCAGTTCCAGAACCAGGTTTTTAATTTCTGTAGTTCCAGTTCCGTAACTCCATTTTTGAAGGTGTACGGAATTTTTGTCTCTGGAACTTTCGTCTCCAAGACTTTTCGGAACTTTCGTCTCCAACATTTTCGGAATTTTCGTCTCCAGCGGAATATTCGTCACTAAGGACAGGGGTGAGCCCTTAATTTTAAATAGGGAGTGACCTTTTCTTTAATTTTTACAAAGTTGTTCTCACTAAAATAATTCTCATACATATACGGCTCCCCCATAAAAGTCGTTTCCATATAATGGCGTTCCATAAAATGGCGCTAAGGCCAAATCAACAAAATGTCGAATCCATAAAATGGCGAAAAGGCCAGATACCCACAAAATGTCGAAAAAAGGCAAAATTAAAAAAACTAAATTAAACTGGAAGAATAAAACATTTTTATTCATAAAAGCACCGAATCGATAAAATAGGACACTATATCTTCCAAATCATGTTCTTCTGGATGAGCTATAGTGCGCGAACCATCAAGATATCCACTAATCTTTAAACCAAGCTGAGTTAGGACGCTTAAAAGTTGTTGTGGCACTTGTTTTTCGACATCCACCATGAAGGACAGAAGGAAATCACGCATGGAGAGTTAGTAGTTCAGCTACATCTGAAAATTGTTGCTGTTCTTGATTAAATTTTGACGATTCATCGATTGGAAATCGCCGTTTTCTTGACTTATTTACTCGGCGATTTTAAGCCTGATATTCATCTAATAAATAAAATTATCCATCTTGGAAAAATTCTTATAAAAAATATAAGATAGGAAACAATTAATAACCTTTACTTGTCAAAAAACTATCAAAGCAAACAAACAAAACAAATAAAAACAAAAAATAAAAATTTTAGCGACATTTTGTGGGTAGGTATTTGGCCTTATCGCCATTTTATGGATTCCCATTTTATGGATTCGACATTTTGTGGGTTTTTGGCCTTAGCGCCATTTTATGGATTCCCATTTTATGGATTCGACATTTTGTGGGTTTTTGGCCTTAGCGCCATTTTATGGATTCCCATTTTATGGATTCGACATTTTGTGGGTTTTTGGCCTTAGCGCCATTTTATGGATTCCCATTTTATGGATTCGACATTTTGTGGGTAGGTATTTGGCCTTATCGCCATTTTATGGATTCCCATTTTATGGATTCGACATTTTGTGGGTTTTTGGCCTTAGCGCCATTTTATGGATTCGACATTTTATGTGGAGGCGACATATACCCCTCATTCTTTTCTTCTTTCTCCTTTTCTATCTATCATTCAATAACTTTTAAATAAGTAAGACTTAGACACACACACAATTTCTCTCTTCCACAAACATTTAGTGTTATTCTTTTTACACCTGCAAAATAATTTAATTATTTAGCTAATTTATTTTTAAAAATTTTCAAATATTCTTTCATTTAAAAGTTAAATAAAACAACTAATTTAAGGCTTTAATGAGTTCACAAGAAGCAAACTTTGAGGTTAACCATAAAGGATTAGATTATTTAAAAAAATTTAATTTTAGACAACATCGGTTAGTGGAAATCCCTGTTCTTCACCTGGTAAAATTTATTTTTGTTATACCGTATAACCTGTATTAATTGCCTTCCCTCAACTAATTACTCCATTTCCATTAATTACCCCATCCAGCGATGGATTGAAACAATAATTACCCCCCAAACAAATGCCCTAAAACACGTTAAAATTTCAAACCTCGTATAATTGCCGTTCTCGATTAATTACTCCCTCCAGCGGGAGGTCGAAACAATAATTACCCAGGGTAGTTATTAAAGGATATACGGTATATTGAAAATTTGATAATTTTTTTTGGCAATTATTGTTTGGACTGATCTATCTTTTTTGGTCAATTATTTAAAAAATTAATCGTTTTTGAAGTTTTTTCTAAAAAATAATTTTTAAAATCAATTAAAATTTTTTTAACAAAAACTTTATATTAAAGAACAGGGAAAGTCGCCTGAAACAAAAAGCAAAAGTAGCAAAAAGAAAAAATGGACATGCAATATCTGTGGTGTGCAAATTAAACGTAGAAATCGTCAGTCTCATTTAAACTCTGATATTCACAAAAATTTGGTTAAGCTCCAGTCCCTCACTGTCTATTCTGGTAGACTCACTCAACCATCATCAAATAAACAATTAAAAAAATAAATTTTCAACTTTTGTTTGCAACTGCCTAAGAAAATAATTTTTATAATTAAGCATCCTTTTTACTTCAAAAATTTCAAAAAAATTTTCTGTGCCTCTTAAATTCTTTAATTTATTAATTTTCTTCTTAACTCTATAAATTTAATTCTTATATTTTAAGCTTTTTTAATTGTGAATTTTATAGACTAAAACTCTTCTACTATTTTTAATTTCGAAAAGTTTATTAAAATTATTTAACCTCTTTTATAACAAAATTCTTTAAAATCATTAATTAATCATTGAAAGAGGTTATTATAATTCTCAGTTTTTATTTTTTAACTTATTTTTAAATCACCTATATGATTTATTAAATCACTTTATTCAGTATATTATTATAAATCATGAAAGATATCACAGGATAGATAAAGAATTAAAAAAAAAAGAAAAGAAAAATTTTTTAGTAAAAAATATTCTAATAATCTTTTTAACAAACTCTCACCCATTTTATAAACTCATTTATATCTCTTGACAAAAAAATGAATTAGAACGATGAGGGTTTGTGTTTAGAGAGGATGGGAGGTAATTTTTCGATTGAATATTAGGATTGATCAGGCAAAATTTAAAACACTTAGCGTGTGTGTTTTAGCGCTGACAGCTTCAAAAAATAAGGAAGAATAATTAAAAACAAATATTATTTGGATAGGATCAGTTTCCCAATAAAGCTTTATTCAGTATATTAAATTATGAAAGATAGCACAAGATAGATAAATAATTTAAAAAAAAATATTTGTTAATTTAATATGGTGTGCGGAAAGTAGAGAAGGGCACAATACCTCGCTGACTCAATTGAGGAGGGACAGGAGAGATTCAACTAGAATGAATCGACTCCTTAGTTTTAACGGGCAACGGAGATCTCCAATCTCCAGAAAACAAGATCCTTAGAAAAACACACAAAACACAGAAACACAGTTTAAAAATGTTTATTTAGTTAAAATAAGATTATAAAAGAAAATGCCTCGGGGGAATATAAGCCGAGCACCAGTTTGGGCTGCCGGTCAACAAAGCAGGCCCTTGTGGTCTCCAATATAAAATATGGGCAAGTCAAAAGTTGGTAATAATTGATTGGCAGAGCTCAGGGAGCGCTGGCAATAAAGCAAGTAAGAAATGTGAGACAACAAGTAAAATGTGGTTAACAACAAGTAACTGAATAAGAGCAAGTGATTAAAGAGAATAGGCCAAAACATTATATAGGGGTAAAAAAATGGGCGTAAACAAATAAATTGTAAGGGAGTAAAGAAAAGTGTGAAAAATGTGTTTTGAGCGGGGAAAGTAAATAAAAGTTAAAATATTAATTGATAAAATTAAAATGGGATTTTAAGTGCCCTTTGGGCACATTCCCCGCCCAACAAAAAAGGTATATAGCTAGCGAGGGGGAAGGCGAGAAAATGCGGTACGTATTGATTTGACAAGTCGGGCAGTTGCGCCCTCAATCGCAAGTAAGTCTTGTGTATATTCTTCTCCTCTTCCATATCGATTTTCTTCTTCAATTTCAGTCAAAGCAGTGGAGGCAGCTGTAGCAATTTGCTCGGCACGGGTACGAAGACCCCGGAGATGATTATCAACAAGACCCCGAATTGAAGATGCCTGACGGTATGGGCGACGTCCAGACTCCGGAACTCCTCTAGCATAAGGACGCCGCGTACGATCATCTTGAGTACGGCGGCCACTACCTTCAGGCTCTTCCGCTCGAACATTAGCGAGAGGAATACCAGACACATCAATAGCCGGTGGTGGAAAGGCTGGCACCAACTGTATATTCGGTGGTGGCAGACTTTGAGGAAGTGCGGAAGATGAAGTACCACATATCTGAGAATTAGGGGTATTTTGGAGGCCCTCACCAATATCGTTTATCGAATGAACTGGTGGGACTGCCATTGATTGAAATCCACTGAGCTTCTGAACACAGGCGAGGAGAGCTTTCGTAAGACTATCCTCGGCTTGAGAACGCTCTGATGCTCCTGGATTAGTGGGATCTTTGGAAATTTCCCCTTTAAGATTTTTACCTTCCTTTTCACCCACGCTATCTTGCCCCACTGTAGTTGAAGTATTTTGTTTTTGAGCTAATGTAGTAACTGCTGGAGCAAATTGATATTGTAACGTAGGTTGGGTGAGCGTTGTCATTACGATTGGTTGTTGTTGAGTGTCTGTTGCCTTTTCTTTCTGTTGTTGAATAGCAGCTAATTTTTCATTTTCTATTTGAGTTGCTATTGGTAAGATTTTAGAAGAAGTATCCTCTTCGAGGATTTTTTCTTTATTATTGTTGTCTTTGAATTTCTTTTTCGGGATTTTCTCCCAGGAAGCCACAAGATTATTCATGTCTCTTTTCTCTTCCTCTGTAGTTGGCTCCCCGAATGTTGAAATATATGCTTGCTGGTGTTGAGTTAAATTCTTTTTAGACATGATGCCAATAATTGATGAAAAATAACTATAATCTATTGATGTATTACAATTATGAGGCAAAATAACGCGGCAAAATTCGAGGCAGGAAATTTCACGAACGGGGTTCGAAACCGCGCAGACCGACAAACACATAGCCAGTATAGTGAATACAATTGTAATGGATTTAATCGGGCGCATAGAACGGGGTATAACAATCCGCACGACGTCCTCATTCTTACTTTCGATTTCGGCTGTGCCTCTCGGTGTTTGAGCCAATTCCGGGTCGGGAGTAGAAGTATGAACCCGATCCGGAATTCCCGGAGTGTTTTGCCTAGAGGCTGGACTACCCTCCCGGGAAGCCGGAAACTCCTCCGACTCGTATGTAAGCAGTTCTAGCGGGAGATAGTCCTCATGAGGCTCTCCCGCTTTCCAACAGGGCTTCCCTGTGGCACGGGCCCTCTGACGACTACGCCTGGAGGATCCCCGTATGCCACCTTTAATGATTAAACATGGCAGACGGGGATGCACCAATGGTTGGCCCTTTCTAGCAAAATAATCCTCGACCGATTCACCCGGCTGGATCAGAGTGACCCAGGCAGGTTGACTAAGCTTTGGGATTACATTGGGCAACCTTTTCCCTCTATAACGAAGATTTTCCCAGAGTAAACACAATAAGCCTTCAGCTTGTCTACGAGGCAACTCCCGAGACCATGTTGGGGGCCACATGCGCCCAATCGCGTTAGGGAGATACTCAGCCATTGTTTGCCCTCGCCGTGGCCAGTCGGGATTGTATCCCTCCTCCCGGCATTTTCTAAAGTATTCACTAGAAGTAAGTCCTGGCTCATACACAGGGGGTACGAGGCAGGGTTGCGCTTGCATTTCTTGAATAGGGAAAAAGTTTGGGATTGCAAGGAAGAGAAGAGTAGTTTGGGAGTTTCGAATGAACTGCCAAATAGAAAATGATTTTTCTGGGCTATGCTTGGCATTTATAAAGCCAAACTTTTGTGATTGAATACTGGGCGGTGCAATGGAAAAGTTTTGGCCCAATGGCCTTGCTCTCTTTCTCCTTCGTGCACCGCCAATTTTTGGCATTCCAATAAACAATTTATTTTTCTGAGAATTGAAGAAGATAGCCATCTGTGTGTTTCGATGGGTAAAAGTTAAGTGAAGTAAACAACCATTTATTTTTGCTTTCTTTTGTTTATTTGATTTAATGTGACGGACAGGCGCTTGTTGAATAATGCGCCATAGTGCGTCTTTAGAATTACAAAAGTTAGCTTTATTTTTGGCCATAGCTAACTTTACACAAAAAGATGAAAAATGTGTAACTTGTGCAGATGTTGGACAGAAAAACATTTTAAAATGTCGAATAGGCAAAAAATAATTTTTTTGTAATTGCCGATTGTTGGATTGGAGTTTGGCCGATTTTTTGTTCAATGGGCATATAGCCCCTTCCCCACCGGCCAAAAAAATAATTATAAAAATTGGGACAAGTTGAGTCGCAATTTTACGAAAAAATTTCAATTTGAGGCGGAGAAATAAGTAAAAGATTATTAATATTGTTAAAATGATAATGAATGTAAAAATAGAAAATATGATTGGTAATGAAGGTAGTAGATAAAACGGATTTAAATTTCCAAGAGTCCATGCTGATGATTTCTGGCTGGACATTGATTGAATGTTTTCCCTTTCTTTCCACGAAAGAGGGATGAAAATTAGTTCTCCTTTAAGGTGAAAATTGGATTCCCCTCCTGGGCATTTAACCGAGCAGGAGGTATCAATTCTTGACCTATCGTATGTAAATGCTGCTGTTCCGACTGTACCGTTTTCAGAACATTGTGCAATGAAGTTTATGCCATCGGCACATGAGATATAAGCAAGAGCATTGCCTAAATCGGTTGTGCAAGTAAAATCCACTTGGACACCTTTGAGGCATTTATAGCAGCCTCTTATTTCCTTAGGAATTACATTACAGGCAGATTCGGTAATTTGAGTGATGAGTTGGAAATTTTCCATTTGTATGTGAATTTGTATCGGCGTATAGGTTTGTTCGACATAAACAGAGTCATCCTCTGTTAGGAAAGTGTGACGGCCAATTGTTAAGGGGAGGCGTAACTCTGGGTCTGCTAATATCGCCTCAGCGTCAAATTCACGACACTGGCAGGTTACGGTATCTCCCGAAATGAGTCGGCACTCTCTGCATGCCTCCTCTGAGATATTACATCCAAAGCCTCGGGCACTCGCTAAATCTGGGCATTTTAAGTCGAGCGGTACATTCTTTGCTAAAGCCACGGAAAATCCATGCGTTAGGAAAGGAGTGCCCAAAATTGGTGCAGGAGGATTGGAAATTGCTATTGGTGTTAAAGAAATATTGTTTGAGTGTTGTGTCCAACCAGGAATTAGAGTCAAGGATTCTTCCTTTGAGTAATCGTTGACTGTAAGCCTAAGGACAGAATTTATGTGGAAGTCCCAAGTAGGGCATTCAAACAATTCATAAACGTCAAAGGACATAGGAACTGCATACCAGCGATAGAAATAACAACTAGCTGTAGGCAGTCCACATCCTTCACTCCAAACCGCAGAAGATTCGATGCATCCACTATTTCCTACATTGTTTGTTAATTCTGCGAGTTCTGGGATGTGAGTTTTTGGTCCAACTCGGGAGCAAAAATTTCCAGAACACGAGCCACTAGTGGGGCATCTCCATACTGAGCGTGTATTTATTTGGTAACTTCTGAGGTAGGCTATTGTCTTAGGATTACACACCAAGTTAAGTGATCGTAAGGTGAGTGTGACTGCTCCTAAAACTTCCCCTCTTTTATCCTTTATCAAAAGATTGTTTGGCTGACCAGCGGGCAACAAACTTAAGGTTGTTGAGCTGGTAATATGACAGTGACGTGTGCCATTCTTCACCCGGCAACTCTCTGACTGTGATATAACCGATACAGTATCAGAGTTGACGAGAAGAATGGTCAGAGAAATGAGGATAGCCAATATTCCATATCGAGCGAGGCGACTGAGGCTCGCTTGTCTAAATTCTCTAGTTTTCCTTTTAACCTCTTTGGTTGCATTGGTGGTTATTTTCTTTGCTGCCGCTTTACTTTTCCCAATTATTTCTCTCTTGATGATTTTGGCGCGAACTCTTTGGCGCCGAAGTAATCTTTTGAAGAATTTGAGGATAAAGCCAAAAGGACGGAAAATCCTTTGCATGGCCCCGCAAATACAACTGAATAATACGAGAAATGGAAAAAGTATGCTGCAGGCTACGAAGGCAGCTGTCTTGGGTTTGCAGCTCGGATTTAATAACAGGTCGAGACAGAAATTACAATCAATTAATTGGCAAGGGTGAAAGGCCGAACATTGGACAGAAACATCGTAAGGACTTTCTTTATTAGTGTCCCAAAAGTTCGCCTTGCACTCGTATTTGTCCAATAACATTTCCTTAGGCAAAATGTGGTCAGTTTCTGGCTGCCCTGGAAATAGGTGGCAGTGATCAGAACAGCATATCTGGACTTTACTAATCCTTTCCGGGGCGAGTATTTTCACGCCGAATTTATTGCAATGAACGATGCACCCTTGACATTTAGAACAGTCGGTACATTCAAAGATTGAGGCATAAACTGGCGATAAAATGGATAGAGTAAGAAACAAAACCAATGGAATGGCGGCTGCTACAGTAATCTTACTGCGAGTTGTCATTCCGTGTTTTGATCCTGCTCCTCTAGGATTTTCTTTTCTGATATTATTTTGTTTATCTATAAGTGGAGGAGGATCTTCTTCCGCCTCCTCTTCAAATGGTGGCATGTTTAATGTAGATTTTGGAGGAACATGATTTGTTCGGTTAGCATCGTGAACATCCTCCGACACAATATCCGGAGGGATGTTCTCTTGTTCAGGTAATTGATTAGTTTGGTCTGGTAGTTGGTGACCCACTTCGAGGGGGTATATTCGATTTACGGGACGAGTAGTAACACGACCGTTAGGCATGCGAAGCTTGACACTCCGGATTGGCCCTGGGTCGCCATTTAATTTCTCTACTCGTGCCAGCGACCAGGTATTTCTTGGCTGTAGTGCCTCTTCAACTAAAACCACATCGCCCAGTTTCGGGGGAGAGTTATTTTGTAGGCGCGGTCCGCTATGTTCCCATTTCGAATTGTCTCGAAGCATAATTAAATATTCCTTTCTCCAACGCTCCCAAAGAGAGTCTAGATTCTCTAATGTCCCTTTCCAATGAGCGAGGAGCTGTTCATGCGGTTGTAGATGGTCAGTCTTCTTGAGTTTATTTGCTGGCTCATAACTGAGAGTAGAGCCAGGATGAATGAAATCTATAGGACGAAGTGGTAGAGGAGCACCTTCACCGTCTGATACATGGGTGAGAGGTCTCGAGTTCAGAGCAGCTTCCACCTCTGCAATGAAGGTGGACAACTGGTCGTAAGGCAAAATTTGCTTGCCTAATGTCCTTTTAAAGCATGATTTGGCTAATCCAATTAACCTTTCATATACACCTCCAGCCCAAGGGGAGAGTGCAGGAATGAATTTCCACTCGATTTTATTTTCAGCCAGGAGAGGTGGTAAGGCTGAACTGATGGCTTTCTCAGCAAGAAAGAAATTTCTTCCGTTATCGCTAAGAACCTTTTCAGGTCTCCCTCTCCTACTAATAAATCGACGGAAGACATTAATGAATGATAGTGCGGTGAGATCAAGTGAAGGCTCGAGATACACAGCTCTTGTCGTTAGACAAGTGATGAGTACCAGCCAACACTTAATTTGCACTCCGTTGAATTTTGTAAGCGTAGGACCGGCGTAGTCAATTCCAATCGACTGGAATGGACGTCTCTGTTGAACGCGGTCAGAAGGAAGCGGTGGCATCTCAGGTAAGGCATACTTATAGGAATTCATTTTCCTACAGGCCAAACACTCAGAAATGACACTTCGCACTGCTTGACGGGCTCTAGGTTGCCAATATTGTGTTAGATATTCTGTTAAAGTCCAGTCTACTCCCCCATGGCATAAATTTTTATGTATGTGAGCTATGAGGAGTTTGCCGGCACTTGAGTTTTTTGGTAGCAGAATTGGATGGATTAAGCCCTCCGGGCTTTTACTGTTTGTTATCCGGGTTTGAAGGCGGATGATTTCCTGATCGTCTGTTATGTTTTTGTATTTCAGAAGTTCCTCTGAGCATTCTCGTTGCTCCCATTTAATTAAATATCTCTCTGCCAAGGTGATGTCCGCGGCTGTTGGAGGCCCATTTTCGGAGACTGATTTTAGGCCAATGGTGGGGGCTCCTTTTATCCCGAGTATAACCTTGATGAAACGGAGTATGTAGATCATAATTCTTCTGGATTTGGACCAAGAGCTCGAGCGGTTCAATAGCTGATGGCTTTCGCGCGAGGTCACCTGGACTGGGAGAGATAAAATTTGGTCAGTGTAGATTTCTTCAGTTTCGTTTTCTATGAGGTTAAATGAGTCGAAAGTCGGGTCCTGAGGCCAGTTGGCTCTTCCTTGTGCCAACCATTTGGGACCGGACCACCATAACCGACTCTGACTAAGCTCTTGAGGGGATACTCCCCTGGTGGCTAAGTCAGCCGGATTTTCATCAGTTCGAACGTAGTGGAATGTTATGTTGACGTGTTTCTTTATCTCATCAAGCCTCCTTTGAACAAAGGTGGGTTGATTCTGTTGTGACTTGACCCATGAGAGGGCTATTTGGGAATCGCTCCATAAGTGAATTTCAGCCTGAGGCACTCCTATTTCTTTCTCTATATAGGCAGTGGCTCGGACTCCGATGAGAATGGCGATCAATTCCATTCGTGGAATTGTCAAAGTTTTGCCTCCCTTTTTAGGCTTGAGGCGATTTTTTGAGAATATGAGTGAGGTGGTTACGGTATTTTTATTCACACCTCTTAGATAAATAGCGGCAGCGTAGGCGCATGATGAAGCGTCTACGAATGTGTGAAGTTCAATTTTGTCGGTACTAGTCGAGAGTGCCCTCCGAGGAAGAGAAATGCTTGAGTCTCGCCACCCTTTGAGAAAATGTTCCCAAACGGACGATTCTTCCTCGGAAAGGGGACTGTCCCAGTCTCGTCCCTCGTCCCATAGTTTCTGAAAGAATAACTTGGCTGGGAGGATTGAGGGAGATAGTAGGCCTAGCGGGTCATAAATGCCGGCTAGAGAACTGAGGACAGCTCGCCGTGAGGTGTTCGATTTAACTCCTTCTTTCGGTAAGAGGAAACTAAGTTTGTCTGTGTGTGTATTCCAACGCATTCCGAGGACTTTAGGTTCCTTTGAGTCTAGGCGGTCCTTTTCCGGAATGGCTTTCATGAGTTGACTGGAATTTGATGAAAATTCACGAAGATTCATTCGTGCGTCGGAAAATATCTGTTTTGCCCTTTGGCACTTGTCAAGGAGTTCAGGCCAAGTTTCCGCGCCTAAATGGAGGTTATCCACATAGAGGCTGTTGGCTAGTTCCGCTGCAACTCCTTTACCGTATTTGCCAAGATGGTGACGAATTACTCCCGCTAATAAATAGGGGGAGCAAATTACGCCAAAGGCCACTCTTGCAAATCGGTAATATTGAATGTTTTCTCCTTCGGGTGGTCTAGAAATGTCCTTCACCCAAAGAAATTTGGCGAATTCACGGTCGGAAGGATGTAATCCGACCATTAAAAATGCAGATTCTATATCGGATATTGCGACATATTTTGGTAGTCGGAACCGAATTAGCAATCCGACTAACTCTGGCAGCAAGACTGGCCCTCGCAGCAGGCAATCATTTAACGATGGTTGCCCCCGAGGATGAGCGCTGGCATCGAAGACTGGCCTAATTTTGTGAGTAATAACGGCATGATGGGCCAAATAGTGTTCTTGGCCTTCAGTATTTCTTTTTGCTGGTTCAATGATTCCTTGCTTCAGGTAATCTAGGAAAACTTTATTGTATTTTCCCAATAGATCGGCTGATCGATGAAGGCTAGTGTAGGTGGAACAAAGTCGGCTGAACGCCATTCTATAATTGCTTGGTAATGGGGCTCTAGGTTCGCGCCATAACCAACTAACTGAGTATCTTCCTTCATCGTCCTGAGTTATTGATGTTTCCAATTTATTTATGGCTATCTGGTCGTCGTCGGCAGCGGGATTTTCCTTAATTCCGATGCTCTCTAAACTCCAGAATTCCTCTATTGTATTTGATGGTGGCATTTGGTCGACACACGTTTTGCCTACCGCGGCTAGAGAATGCGACAATTTACCTCCCTGAGGACTCATGTCGGATTCACCTCCCACGACTGGACCAAATACTGTTTGTATGACGAATAGACCTGGGGCAACTTCAGTCTTGCCCATAAAATATTTCCAGAAATGTCGGGTACCAAGCATGATCCCCGGAACCTCCGTAGACAACTCAATCGCTCTACGAACTTCCGGTAAATCGGTAGCTCGGGTAGGCATTTCGGCTACCCAGTTAGCCATCTCAAATGATGTACTTATTTCTTTTGTCCAATTAAGTTCCAGATCTTCCCATCCCCCGTCTTCCCTTGCTATCGCAACGGCGTAAGACGGAGAACGGATCCTGATTGGGTCACGCATCGTTCCTCCAAATCCGTGGACCTCAACATCGTCCTTCGCAATTTGAGGAGGGCGTAACTGGTTGGCGAGTGAACTTGAAATATAACTTAACTGGCTTCCAGGGTCGAAGAAAACAAATGCTGGAATTTCCTTAAAAAGCTTTTTCGGTGAGGCAACTGCTATCTTTCTAGTCATAAGATACGCAGTTGGCTTTTTACGTAAATGTCCGTAGGCGACGGCGGAAATTGCTTTGCTCGTCTCCTCTTCTTCTGTGTTAGTGATTGGTTGGGTAAGATTTGAACCTGTGCCGGGACCCTTATCTCTGGTCGCGGCCATTTGAGAAAACTGCTTGTTTGGTTTTTGCTTGTTTGGTGGATGATTCGGTGCCTTAGGTGTAATATTTGAACGACCTTTCGTCCTCCTGACATTGCGCACAAACTCTAAAGGAAGGACATTCTCTAACAAAATGACCTTCGTTTAAGCAACGCATGCATCGTCCTTGTTCCTTTAAGCGACGAAGGCGGTCTTGAGGCGTCGGATATTTAGGGCATTGTGAGGGAAAATGTCCGAGAGTGCCACACAAGCATAATTGACAGTCAAATATGATAGATGATAAAATAACCACTAATATGCTAGTTATCTATAATTGAACATTCATAGTCTGAAGGATTCATGATAACGAGGAGATGAAAATTTAAATTTTTATTATTACAAAACTATTATTTAACCAAATAAAAAGGATTACCAACACATTTGCAACAATTTACTTTAAAATTATTCCAAAGTTGCTCGTCAATAAGACCATGACCATAATTGTAATCCAACAGAGTATTTTGTAAAATTATATAGCTCATTATACCATTACCTATTGCAACACCCTTAAAATCATTTTTAAAAATTAATACTCGATTATGTTGGGTAGGTATCTAAGTAATAAAGCAGCCGTCAAGGCTTAGACGTTTCTATGTAGTCTTGATACAGTAATATCAGGCAAGTAGCAGCGATAGTCTAGTTGGATCATACGCCCAGATAGTCCCATATCTAATACGTCTGTTCAGCCCAGACATCATTTCAACCTTCTACTCACCAGTGATTTCAATATCTACTCACTCGTATGGCTCTGGGAGCTAGCTCCGGAGCCCGGCTCCTGAACTGGCTACGCAGAGTTGGCAGCCAGAGCTAAGGTTTTAAAAGCCCGAAGCCAAGAGCCGGAGCCAAGATTTTAAAAGCCCATAGCCGAGCCAACAAATGCCAAACACCCAGCACTGGAAATAAGGGATTTGAGAGAGTTTGCCTATAGTCTAAAGAATTGTCTTAGCTTTTAAATTACCTTTAAATTCAAAGGAGTTTCTTTCATATTATCCACAATTTTAGAAGCAAGCATAGAAAGATAGGTACTCGCATAAGACTCGCCAGTGAGAAATAAGGGATTTGCTTTAAGAGAAGGATATTTCTTCAAAAAATCTTTTAATGCTGCATAATTGGCTACAACAACCTATAAATTTTATTGAAAATATAAGCCATCAAAATAATAATAATTTAATACCTCATTATCACCTGTAGTTACATTTTTGGGTATATTTTTGTAAGAAAATCCAACCCAAGAGGGGGATTCTAAAAATAAAACTGAGGCA